ATAAAGATTTCATGCAATTTCATTAAGCCTACTGCATAGCAATCAAATGAACACGTATTTGTCGGCCTCCATTTTAATATCATTCAGCATACTCACCTATTTTTTTTAATTTCATGTTTATTTACATCATTTCCATAGGCTTGACTTTGAAGATTTTTGAGCACGTGCTTAAACCCGTCGATTTTGGTCAAGGCCAAAAACGACCACGAGGAGGAGGCGATAACTCCGACTCAGAAAATGAGGAAAATGGTTTCCCTAATCAACTATCGAATGAGATTTTCCGTTCACGGCAACAGCGGAAGGTTCAGCAACAACAGCATCAGCAGTAAAGAGACGTCTGTTGATCATTTACCTTTTATCTATCTGAGGTTTGTTTTTAGCGTTATTTTCTCTACACCCAAGCATTCCATGGATCTTCGCTATTTCCACTGATCAGCAAATGCGTGTGTATGACTGTTAAAAAAGTCAGATGTCTTCTGAGCAAAAAGCGAAAAGTATTGAACGAGTACATTCAATATATTTTTACCCACCTAAAGCTAAGTCTCTTGACACGAAGCAATAGGTGTTCGACTCCGTTCGACAGAAAACCTTACATTCGAGCCATAGTAACCCCGGGAATTTGAAGGAAGACCCGTGATCATGATGACTATGGTGGTGATAGCTATGTTGATGACCCCGGTGATAGCCGGTGAACATTATATGCAGAAGGTAAATGAGGACAGCTAGGCACTTCTGCCAAAACATTTCATTTAGAATTATAAAAAATTACAGCGAACTCGCTGATCGGACGCTTAGCATCAGTGCGAAAAGATTCGAATGCCATTATTTCGAGCAAAAAACTCTTTGAGTATGTGACTGTGTATATATAACGCCTCAGAGTGCGCATTTGACAAGGTGCGTATGTATGTCTTGAGAGATTCTAGCTTCAACTGTAGGTCTTTATTAAATCGAAGTTCTAGTACAGACGAAGATGACTGTTGAACAGTGGTTACATTAATTATTGCTGTTCGGTTGCTCTAGATGACAGTGTGATGAATTGAAGTAATTTGGATTGGTATTATTACTATTATTGTAGTTTTGTTAAGTTAATATCATTTTTTGGCAAGATAATGCTAATTTATAAGTTCTACACGAATATCATTATGAGAATGAAGGAATCATCGCTACATATCGGCATTATCACAGCAACGAGTAGTAATTCTTGCATCAAAGACATATATATACATATATGTATATATCAGAAGTAAGTTAAAGTATTGCGCAGGAGCACGTAAATAAAAAGAACAGGGAAAATATACGAGGAAATGTTAACGCATGGGACACATATGAACGTTGAAAAGTAAAGTGCTTATGGCAATATAAATGGAATCATATTTGTATATGTATATAGAGAATAAATTCCAGCAAGTACAGTATCATGTATAAGAAAATGTGCTGTGAATTAATTTACACTTCAAGTGATTGAGGTTATTTACTTTAAATGTCTCATGCATCATGAACCTAACCTAACCCTCTCTATTCCTATTATTTACATACTATTGTCAAATTTAGTTTTTCAACAGCAAAAAAAGTAGTAAACATAAATCAGTAAGACTTCGTAAACGAGAAGTGTTATCATCGAATCTTACCACTGACGGTAGAAGTTAGAAAATCACTTGATTCGTGAATTCGAAAATGTAATTCAAGACCTTCGCTCCAAGCTGAGAACAATTGATAGGCTTCTCTTCAATACAATATTTAAACTTTAACAAAACAAGATATTTTAGGTCTAGAACAGATTGTTCATCGTTTCAATAGAAACACTTCCATCAGCGACTAACAGTAGATTTATAAACGAAAAGTTAGTTGCCTTGGTATTAGTTCTGCCTTTTAACTTAAAGGTATTCATGCATGGCTCCCTAACTGAACGTAAAGGTTGATTGTAATTTAAATGATGCTCTAGTCAATGAGTGGTAACATTACCGATACTTTGCGTTCTTTGAACCCCGTCTACGCCGATACCCCCACAATGGGCAATTATAGCACGTGTGGCACGGTAATATAATTATTCGTATAGGAATAGTATGACATGCTGTTCATAAGGCACGGGTCAGGATGAGTAAGTCATTTTGCTTAATGCGAATGCGTTCACGTCTTACGTCGAAGACACTGGCACTTAGTCGGAAGTACCATTTCTTTAAAAGGTAATATTTTGTCGATAATTTTGTGCCATCATAATATGGCAAACGAAATAAAAATTGTTTAATTTAATTTGACAGAGTGAGTTTTATTTAGTTGTCTATTCCGATGTATTGCAGAAGTTCAGATTGCGTTGTGATCACATTGTCCTTCTTTTCAGCGGCTCGTGATTTCTGTTTTTGTTAAATGCTCGAGGACATCAGGAATACCAACGTCCTATCTGTCCTATGCGATGATTGGATATATCTGATCATCGTTTATTCCTGACCGTCATCGTCTTCAGATTTCTCCTCTTTCTTAGCTTTCGGCTTTCGTCCTCGTTTCTTACCGGAGCCCTTAGGTCGGCCACGGGCCTTCTTACCACCCGAGCCACCACCCGAAGGCTATAAAAGCATCACACAGATAAATTAAAAATAATTCAGTTTTTGCGATCATTAAAGTTGTAATGCATTCTGAAGCATTTAATAATGTCCTCCATCGTGGAATACAGAGGCACAATTTTTTAGTAGGACCGGATATGACCAACAGTTAACCACTATGAATCTTAACAATAGTGATTGAGCTTTTATTGTTTATCGGGAGAACTACGAGACGAAATAGTTTTCGACGCTGGAATCACCACCTCGAAAACGAGCGAACCACAAATCAGACCGTGCAATAGGCTATAGTATTAAGTCCGTGTACCCCACAAAAAAGGCCTTTAAGAACTTGGATTGCATTCAGCTTTTCCTAAAAGAGAGCTTCAAAACCGACCTAAAATACACATCTGAGATTTTTATTTTTGGAACTTGTGCAACTTGTGTGAAACGTGTAATCGCGTCGAACACGCCGCCAAAAGCCGAAACACAACAAGTATAGAGAAGAACCGCTCTTCTCCCCTCGCTCAAGTTTGTTCTGGCGCCAAAATTTGAACCGATTCAAAATCCACGGTGAACTTATGAAACAACTCAGCAGCGAGCTGTGGGCCGTACAGGTGGCGCTATCTGCGTTCACCATGTTTTCTATTATAAAGCATTTTCTGCATATCGAATAAAAATGTTCTGAAGGAATTTTCATCTCGAGCGCAACATGATTATATTCAACCCAGACACCGCGCCTCCGGATTACCACCTGTTTAGATGAATGCAGCATGGCTTGGCAAGCAATTGGTTTGAAGCGTTACTTTGTTTTATTTTTGATCCTTGTAGTCCTATTTGTTGTTTTTCTAGCGCTGAAGTAGTGGTAAAGCCATTATGTCGAATGTGCGTGTTTTCGACGCCCATTTTGCCCGAAAAACAACAGCTGTCATAGGTAAGCCTTGCATTAAGAATGCGGCTTACGCGTCATAGATTAATAGATCACCGAGGTCAAACATCAAATTCTATGACGTACAGTATCATATGGAAACTATATAATTAGATAACTTTAGCCCAGTGGCTAGTCTATACAGTATCTGATCACTGCCGTAGGGTCTTATTGTAACCATGTGAATGCCGACACTGTGACCGCGCTGGTGAGGGAAGGTGCGTCGGCGAGGGCAGACAACATGGCGGATGCCTGCCGTACTTAACAGCAGTAATATTTTGTACTTGGGTAGGATTTATTTTTCGGCAAAATCGTTTATAATGATCATTCGGCATAGCAGTAAAATTAAGAACAAAAATTAAAAAACACAATCATTACTCGCTTTATAGAAAACAATACCTAACAGCAGATGTCAACGGGTATTCTACTTAGCCAAGTATGGTCCCGAAAGAATATATAAAATTAAAGTTAACGAAAAGTTTACAATTCGTGCCGGGTCAAGTTTTTTAGCAAAAATTAGCTATTTTTGTGCGCAAATGTTCCCAAGATATTTACCGCCTTGCGTTTTGTGGGGGCCTTATCCGAGTCAGGCTTCTTCGGGCGACCCCTGCGCTTCTTCTCCGCTGCAGCCGACGCACCCTCGCTGTCAGACATCTGCGGGAAAAAAATACAACTTTCGTAAATTTTTGCTCAAATTCGCATTTTAATGGCATTATTCCTAGTGGCCTAGTGGATTTTTCCACACATCTTTTCAGCGGCTAGGAAGTCAGCAACACTATCAACAGATTTTTTTCTCTTAATGGTCCGCCATTTTGCTACTGGTCAACTGCGGAATTTTGCTCGGTTTCCACAAATTTTTCTCAAGTTTGCCACCAAAATAGGTCAATACTACCGGCAGTTGGCTAGCTTGACGCAAACTGTCATAGCTATCCGACGCCTACAGCTTAGCACAATAAAACATTTCTAGGCCTACCGCAACCCCATTTACTTTGGGTGTTTCTGCAAAAATAAACACCTCTTTCGATTTGTTTTGTGACTAGAACGGACTAAAAAAATTCCCCCAACCGAGGTCAATTTTTTGGCATATGGGGCATGAAAATTCTGACTAAAACGTTAAATATTGGAATTTTTTCTGATTGTCACTTACCGTGATCCGCAAGCTAGATCAGTTCCGACGACGAACTCCGCTCCGGGCTACCTTAGCTCGCGGAGCGCAAGCTTAGCCAGCCGCGCTGACGACAACAGCCGCGGTGGCAGGAGCAGCACTTGGCCCCCTTCAATAGAGGCACCCGCGCGAGCCGCCCTTGCGCTCCTCTCTGGAGTCACAAAGCCCCTGCCGGTCACCCATTACCTCACCACTCTTTACAGTGACCCCCCACATCCCCAGACCCTCCTTACCGAGTGTCTCTATGATTCTTTCCCTAGGGTGTCAGCATGGCGCCGGATCTTGTAGAACCACTGCAGACAGCGCCCCCATAATCTCCCTTTTCGTAGGAGGAAGCATGACGATGTGGCGGAGCATCTGCCGATGGTGGAGCATCTGCCGAGAAGTGCAACCAGCGCCCTCCCTTACCCTCGATTTTCAACGGGACTTTCAGCTAGATCTGGAGTGGACTGGATGAACGAGCAGTGCTAAAACCGTCTGCGTCTCCTTTTAACTTACACTCTCAGGTGCAAGCGGTTCGAATGAGCCGGTCACTACCGGCAACTGCTCGCCGACAAGCAGAACTAGCTCACCTAGCCGCCTGGTCGGCCGCTCCACTCGTGTTGCACTTAGTGGCGAGGCCGGTGTTCACTCTCCCCATTTTTTCTGTCCGCCTGCTCGTGGCGCCGTTTCGACACCTCGACGGAATAAGCAGCCGCCATCGTAATTGCGACAGTAACAGCCGCCTCGGCTGCGTGCCCCCGTCTTTGTTCACTTACGCATTAAGTTCGATGAATGTGGTATTTAAGGTTGTCGTACAGCGTAAGGGGAAGGCAAGCTCGAGCGGCAGCAACACAATGACGCAAAGCTCGAGCTAGGCGTCACAATAAAAGTTCTTTTCACTAATTTACCATCAACCATGCTTCTCGCTCGATGTTACGATGACAACGATCGTCTCGAAAGCAGAAGAAGTAGCAATGTTAAGCCACGCGTTTTGTTGCAGTACTGGAATATAAATCCCCCTTAGAGGAATCGGAGAATGCCTCGACAGTAGATGTATTCTCTCACAAATATGGACACTTATTTGACAGTTAATGAAGGTTAATGGCATCAGTGTAGCAGTTAGCAAGCGGTACGGCAGCGTGCTGTGTTGGTAAATGAGTTCCGTTGACGACGTGATTCCGCCATTCCATTTGCAGACTAAAGACACTTCTTCATCATTTTTTTAGCCCGGGCGCGCACTGTAACCCAGTCAACTAACGAGTTATCAAGCACCAACATACCTGCACAAGCTTATGATAGAATTTCATATGAAGATGGAAGCAGAGCTGTATTCAATTTGCCGCCCATTGACGTCCATAGACGCAGCAAATGGTCTGGAGCATCAAAGATTTAGCGAGCATGTTTCTTTATTGCCGTTCACTAAAGAGCTTGAGTCATATCGTCTGTAACGTAGGATTTCCTTGCTTCTCTGAGTGAAAAATCAGACATTTGTTGGACCCCTTCTAGCCAAGGGAAGCGACGATGCCAAGAAAAAAACAGCCTTGTAAGCAAATAGCTACTGTACTCTTTAGAGGCAATGTGTTGTAAGAGCCTTTTGATCTGGATTCAAGCTAACGACCTAGTAGCCGCCTATTCTACTTTTGTTGGAGGTCTCCGATGGGGTCTATTTTCTGTCGCTACAACTTAACCTGCTTGAGACTTAGATCTGATAGCTGAAGGGATACATTGTACGAGGGGGCTTGGGCTATCGCCGCATAGGAAAGTCTGTAAATTAGATAGTGGTGACAGAGGGGAATCAAGTAACATTCAGATTACTGGTCTCTGATGTACAATCTGGCTTTGATGTCTGGTTTCGTGACGCCATTTGCCTCTTTTCCTGGTATTTGGTTTCTTTGTCCGAATTAAACAAATTTTGACATTAGGGTACTCAACTTTCGGAAGCTCAAGGATGAATTTGTAAAGATTTTAAAAAACATCACAGTAAATTAGATCCGTGCTATAGGCTAAATATAATTAAAAGTGAAACAAAAGTGTTTTAGATAAACATTGAAACAAAAAGTTTATTTGCTCCTTCGTTAGGAGCGAAAGAGATAGAAACTGAGAACTGTACCCTTTTTTTGAGAGGCGGCGCCGTTTGGTATATCTAAATGATCAAAGTTGTGCCTGGTCATTGAATATTGGTTCAGGTGTACGCCTGCGTCGAATCGCTGACATCAACCAGTCTGTTCCTGAAATCTGTATTAGCACACGCACTATTCAAGTTAGGAATAATGTGTCGCAAATTTGAGTGGAATCACCTGCCCCTAACAAATTTAAAATGTTTTGAGAAGCTTTAAAGGCAGTAGCGCTTGTTTTAGTGTTCGAATATGGGTTTTTCCAAGACCCTTTGGCAGGAACTTTTGTCATAAACTATTTCTCTATTTTCCTTTAAAGGACCGACGGTCTTTATGAGAACCTACAATAGGATGAGCTATGTGTAACATGTCTTTTTATAATTATTTAACCATTTTATTTGCGACAATGCATATTTCTGAAAGTAGCCAATGGTAATAGCAATATGAAAGACGGCATGTCGGGAAGTTAGTTGAGGCTGGCGTTCCCACTCATACCAACCTAACTTTTCAACACAAGCTGAATATATTATGTTAGCGATTTTTATTATACAAAAAGCTTCGTTTCCATTTCTCATTTATTAGGTGCTTACTAAGACATCACCGTAATATTTTCAGCTCACCGTCTCTAATCATTTCCAATTGCAAGTGACCGCTTAGGATTTGATCCTCAGCTAAGTGTATTAGCTTCTGTTAATTTCACTACTTGCTAATGCTAACCGTCTGAATAGAATCCCAATCCGTGCTGTAATATGGCTCTTCATTTTATTTTAGGCAACTTATATGGCCTTGGAAACGGTCTTAGTGAGAAAAGATTTAGGCTCATTTAAAACAAAAACCCACATAAATATGTGCATCGTTTTTTGCAACAAAATTCTTATGTGCCAAGTTAGGCTATATTTCCAGAGACTACAACAATGTCCACATGTTTTTTCCAAATAAAATTTCCACCGACGTTGTCCTAACAAAAACATAGTTCTGCCCCAACGCTTTTATGCCCAGGCTCGCCAAGGTTATATTAGAACAACGAACATAATCTACTTTTTTCTGCATGGAGCAAATCAGTTGAATGATAGGTCTCGTTTGAAAGAAAAGTTTTCGCAATAGCATTCAATGCCAGGGAACAACTACTTTAGCACTTTTTATAATGCCAAATGTTTACTATAATCTCCACAATTATGTGGTTCCATGCATTAACAACACTGTGCTGTTTTCTTCTGTTCTATGACTCTTTCTTTGCCGCCGCAGATTCTCTTTTGAATGACATTCTCAACTGAAGTTTACACAGTACAGAAGTTTGAACAGGATTGCCAGACTTCTTTCTTTTTGTTTCGTATACTCGTAATTCGGGTACTTGACCCGCATTATTGGTCATGCGCATTAAAAGCGATGTTTTACTAGCTAAGGCTTCTGCACAGTGTTTTTCTAACGCGATTATTTGCACATAATTTTTTTAAGGATTAGGTGATTTTTCGGTTGTTTTCAGTAGTATTTATGTCGTTCAGATATTTACAATTCATCATGCAGCGTATCTTTTCTCCATCGTGTGTTGATTAGATACCAAGTAGCATGTTTTATGAAATGTTATATTTGCCGTGTTAGCTTTTTAAGAGATCTAGAGGAGACCTAGTGAATTCTAACGGCAAAAATATTATCCTGATTTTTTTCCAGAGGATAAGACAAGATAATAATTTAAGATTACGAACAAATTTGGAACCAGTGGGAGACAAGACATATCGCAGTCCATTCTGCCTACAGGTAAAGGTATGAAGTGGATAGCTAATGCAAAGAAGATCTGCTTTACTTTATTTTATTTCGCTTATGCGGCACAATGTGATAAACGAATGAAGTAGAACGTTTTTAGTATCTTATTTTACTTTTAGTAGCCTTTAGGTCTTTCTTCGACGATTAGAATCACAGTTTACATACGCATTAAGTACTCAAAGGTGCAGGGGTGCCGCTTATGATAGAACAACAGTGGCTACATCGACTGATAGTCGACCTCAGTTATGATAGCATTATATGTATATAGTGTGCCTAGTCAAAATATGGAGTATATCCAAATAGGTTCATAGTTGTCGAACCTTTCGTTGAGTCTTCTAAATGATATAACTATGTTGTATTTCCACTGGAGGTCGCCCAATGATATCTAGAACTACATCTGTTACCCATTTCTATAATCCACGTTATATGTGTATATAGAGATTGGATTAATCATATCATTAAATAAAATCAGAGCGCGATCTGCTTCGGTGGCTTGAAAGCCGTGTTAATATCTAAAGATGAAATAGATTTTGGTGTTTTTTTTATGCCGCTTAATTCAATATTTATTTATTAACCAGTAATGAAACCAGTTTGTATCAATTGTCAACTCGTTTTGCTGTTAACCGTTAAGACTTCAAATATTTTGCGTTGCCAATGAAAGGCAACGTTTAGCAAACATAATTTAGGAGATTCACGTACTGACACAGCCCAAGACATAAAGATTAATTTCGTACGACATATAAGTGGTAACCATCTATAAACTATAAACTATAAACTGAGAATGAGTGTAGTACTATGACTCACTTGACTTACAGGTTTATTGCGGTAGTTAAGTATTTTTGTTTTTATGTGCAGAGTTTCGATTAAATATCAAGCTGTCGAGTCTAGAGAGAGGCGCTGCGCCAATATTTCCATCATATAGTAGAAAAAGATGACTATAAATTGTTGATATATTTCATATATATACTTTGTTGCACCGTTAGCTAAATCTACAGACTCACAGTATAAGTGGCTTGTGGTAAGTTCTTATGTAGTTTATAGCGGGGCTACACTTAATCTTGATATTTTTCCACATCATGCAGTTGTAATATGAGTCTGGTTCGACCGGCAAAAAATCACTATACGAAACTATCTAACGATCTCCAATATTGATTCTCCAATTTGACCGATTGAGCTTTTAACAAATTGAATACACATATCAACAATCTAGCATGTCTAGCTAAAGATAACCAAACATTTACTAATAGAAGCTTAGCGTCGGTTAGAAATGTGGCAGGTTCATTACGCAATGCTCCTGATGTACTTGCATACAACGATGTATATCGAAAAAAAACTATTGAGTATTCGCATTAAACCGCCTACCGGTACCTGACATAAATCTGGAGACAACTTTGTGTAAGCATTATGCGAAACGCCTGACCCGAGACTTAGATCTGATTGTCAATGCTCTATCAGCTTGACTCATGATCAGCGCAGTCATTGTATGTCTTAGGCACATTGTATCCGTAGTAGCTATTTTGCACAAACTTATCGTGACGCTCATAAAGTTGTTTGAGGATCCACTTATGGGTAGACTGACCAGCGGTGCCACCGTACTCGAACGGAAGAATCTCAGCTGGAATGAAGCGGTGTAACGACGCCATATCCCGGCCGTGCATATGGAAACGGGCCCTCTGCTTAGCCCCGAGCAGTGGTCTAGCCACGCTGTAAATGAGATCCCATATTGCAGTGTTATTCACAACGTGGACACCTTTGAAGCGAACGGGGTAGCCATCTTGTAGAGCCATCACCAAGGCCTATGAAGATAAAAAAGATGTGCAAACAATATTGAGAGAATGCTTTTCCGACTGGAGGAATGTTATGGCAATGGGAAGGCATATGTGCCTGTATTATATATTATCCAAGGTGCGCTTGAGCGCAGACGTTAGACGTGTACAGTACACAAGAAGACCTATAACAATCATCCACATAAAGCAATCATAACGCAATATTATAGAACTTGGAGATGCTAATTCTTGTAGACACATAGATTGGAACAAAATCTATAGGTAAACCTAATGCTCAATATGATGAATTTTGTTGATTTATATTATAGATTATATGCTGCCTGTAGGGGAGAGCGGATGTAGCGATACCATCTGATACATCTTATTTGAACTAATTGCTATTTCTCTAATAATAATTCTGTAATAAACTCTACTTTATTTGATTCGTTTTTCTTGACGTTTCCGACCCTCTGCTGAATAACCTCACCAAAATGAAAATCCATCCAAAAGAGATGGTATCACAAAAACTGCTATGGTTGTTTTCAATAATAACTCTAGTTAATGAAAATTAATTAATGGTAATTTTTATTCTACTTGCTCAGTCTTATCTTAGATGAATTTCGTCCCTTTTGTACAGGAGAAGCACTTTCTGTACATTTAGGTATGCCCAAACTAGACACCCATTAGGGCTTTTTTTTTCTAGCCATCCATTGATACTAATTGTGTTAAAAATGGTCGTCCGCCCTTATTACTTACTACAAAGCATTCCACGTAAATGTTACTAATTTTAATCTATTGCCTTTAAAGATTCCCGCAGACATTCACAAAGCTATTTAGACTATAATAACTAACCTTTATAGCCGAGAATGGTAGGTACTGTACGTAAGAGCAGTGCATCTTCTCTAGATCAATAAGAAAACGAACCCCATTCACTTGCACTTGAGGATCCTCCAATGTTAAATCACCAACCATAGCAGTTGGCGTAAAAATGTCACGTAGATCGAATCCACAATTTGGAGTCCAATTTCCAATTCTCCAAATAATTGTTGTTGTACCATCGAGTGGATTAAGCTGCTTGAGGAGAGTGCCCACCTTGAGTTCATAGGCGCCAGCATAATCCTTGGGTCCTTTGCCAATGGGCATGAAGCGTTCAGGATCAACCAGCCTAATACGAAAGTAGCGTTTATATGTCTTGACGGCTCGTTGAAGATTGAATTTCTTCGCACGCAAAAATCTCAACAGAAAATCCTCATCGAGACGCGGTCGGAACTCTCGAATCTCCGACACTGTCGAACGGAATTCGGTAAGAAGCTTTCGGCGTACCTCGGGGGTTTCTCCGAGTTCCTGATAAGCCCGTTTCTGCCAGTCCGTTACATCTTGAAAAATCATCATGTTGCCCCTGCGACAGCTGAAGACGCACTGGCCGCCTTTCACCGACGTTGAAGGCTGTATTCTGCCAGAGTATTTTCAGTCATCATCTAGATCATGTCCAATGCCTTCTATGTTGAATCATCTTTGGGGCGAGCATTAATCTTCGTAGAAAGGACGTGGACGCAGCCGCGACTGCCAAAAGTGAGGGTGAATCATCTCTAGGAAATGAAAGTAATACTGCGGTTTCGGACAATGATGCTCGATGCTGCGGCTATCATACACCGCAAATGACGCTGGCGGTGGTGAACACCAGACTGTTTGCATTGCAGCCAAGAATAGACATATCTATTCACATGTTACTTGCGTGTGTGTAGCATTTCGTTTAGTCTGAACCTGCGCATGACCCCTAACATACTGCCCACTTTGGAAACGCTCGGCAGTGTGCGGATGTTGAGTGTCTGTCTGTTCGTCTGTGCATGTGTATGCAGAGGTGTTCCGTTATAGTTGTTGCACTAACGAACTGTAGAAATGTGGGCAAAAAACGCTCGGGAGGGTGGCGCAAGATACAGCTCATAGCGTCCATACGAACACGCGTTCACTGCAGTATTCGGCGGAGCAAAACGTCGACAATAAACAACCTTCTGGACGAGTGGTGGGGGTAGACTGGCTTAGCTGGGAGCATCGCTGTGACACAAGGCGAAAAGACAGTTAACAATAACATTACGTTGTACGAGGCATATTCTTCTAGGCAGAATTCTGATGATGACCGCAATTTCGTTGGTTAGCTATCAAGTGTGCTTATGAAAACACTGCAACGTTGGATTTCATGCGGAGAAACGTGGAAATGAGTTAGGCTGATTTTTTTGTGCTACGTTCTCAGCTGAAACTTCATGGATGAGTATTTTCTGTATTTGTTATTCGTGCTGATATGCTTGTTGTTAATTGCTGTTGCTTGTGTTGCAATTATAAAGAAGTTGAAGTAGAATTGAAGGTGTTGTGTATGTCACCATAACGCATTTTACAGACGAATGTACACATCTATCTTGACCTCTAATAAAAGATACAGTAAGAGTTGAAGTTAGTTGGCTTCAGAGACACACTTGACAAAGCATTTTTCACACTGACTCGGGCGAAGATACACTGATAGTGCGCGTCAGACCTTATCTGAAGCAGCTAAATTTTGGGAAATAAATGAGTCGTTATAATGTACATAATAAAATGAAGGTCACATTCATCGTGCAATACCAGCTACTCAGGGCTATTTTTGTTAAGAATGATTATGAAAGCGCTCATATATATATATATATATATATATATATATATATATGAGCGCTTACACTGTCAGATTCAAATAAATGATTATGATTACCATGGACAAATAATATTATAGGTAATAAAAAAAGCACATAGGATGCCAAGACAAGATGGACGCGTGTGCGGTGCGGAAGTACATCAGGACAGACAACGAACCGGATATATATAATCGATTGAATGTAAAACATCGATTCAAAATGGCGGTAAAATCCAAGTATGTGTTTCGAGATTCAACTGTATTTCGAAATGTGGAGCTTAAAATCTCACACTATCCATAATATGACCTTTCCAAGCAGAATACAGGCATGCTTCGGAGAGACTTGTCGTTCTGAACAGTCTATCAGCCGTTATAATATAATTTTCATTTTCGCACATAATATTTATTCCTACCAGCAAATACTTTCATATCAAAAAAGGAAAATAAATCAGTCTGGATATTTCAACGGAATAAGTGAGGTGATGTGATGACCTGCCATGAAGCGAACCGAAAGCAAATTTGCCTATGGCGCAATGCAGAATGACAGTATGAGGAAAAGGAAATAGACTGGCTGAATCATTAACCCGATTTCTGTATTATGCAATCCAGGGTCCTGTATAAATCTGGCGGATGTCGTTCCCAATGATCAGGAAAACTATTAAACTCAACTTTCATTACGGAACTGTTTCGAGGCCACAACATCGACCATTAGCCGAGTAGAGAAAAATAGAAAAAGGCCTATCAACCTTTAGCTGCTTGGTGCAGGAAGGCAGAGAAAAACGATTCACTTTCGTATCAAGTTTGAAAATGCGGGTTTTCTCTTTGCTCTACAAAACACGTGAAACACTACAGTAGTTTGCAACTGTCCGCCATTTCGCATTCATATATGTGTATATATATATATAAGCCCGAGCAGACATCACTGTCCAACAACGACAGCAAGCCCTTTAGATGTAAACAATGCTCTGGGTTACAATTAGTTATTTAAAAAAATGAATTATTTACGTAACAAAAACAATTGGATGGAATCGCTAGTGTTGTTCTTTTTTAATTATTTTTTTCATCTTGTGTTTGAACTCGCATTTACAGAAGTCGCTCTATCTTCTGTAATTGTGTTACATTTCTTATAATCTGCAATGGTACCCTATGATACGCGCTTCGCAGAAGAACATAACTAGCAAGGGGTATCGTGCGTTTGTCTTTGAAGCTATCGCGAACCGCACGTTGCTTCGTAAAGATACCGTTATCCATTGAACTTCGATTTAGATCTATAACTGAGCGCAAAACATTCTGACGAACCCGTTGTTGTATCCGCTGAATAAGCCATTAGCATTCCATAGCAAGTATGTCCTAATCTACCGTGTCTCATTTTACGACTCTTCATAATCCTTACTTTGCCAGTAATTACCGATTAAAAGAAGAGGGCCAGTTTTCGTTTTCATTTACATCCATCTTCCTCTCGTATTAGATTTACCCTCATGATAGGGCAGTATGTAACGTGTTTGCTTGATAAAATTAGAGATATATAGTGGTGTATGTTTGAATCCGAGCGTAAATACTGTTTGTTTCGTGATGGAAGCCAGTCATCTGAGGTAATGCATAATACATTAGGTACTGCACATAAAACAAGATATATCTGCATGCAGATAAGATATATTTGTTGCGTTTGCGAGCTAGGACAGCCTACCCAATTTGTTGGAAATTAATGTCCCGTACTATCGTTGAGCATTGCTTCAGGCGCGTAGTTGCTTCCACCACGGAACGAACTGTGCCTATGTTCAGTTTCGAACCTACGGCACCATGTGCCTTTCGTCTTACTAACCAAACGTGTTATTTACTGTGACATCACGAAAATACCCAATTTGTTTACTGATGCAATATACTCGCATCGATAATTCGGTATCACTCTGCGGCAATGTGTCTGTGCGAGTGTTTACATTTCGATAATGCTATCTGATAGAGAACTTAGCGGAGGCGGTCTTTCTGAATACGGTCAGCGCAGATCAAGATGAAGGTACCCGCCTTAACTTTTTCGTCGCCTATGCAACTACGCCTGTCTATTTAGCTGTGCCCGGGTCTTTCTCGGTGATCATCAATGGGATAAGTACCTCGACGGGATCGACTGCTTGTTCCGTTCAGCATCGAGGCTCTGATGAGCGTGTTCACCTTTCCTCTTTTGGGCGCTATACTAGCCGCTGCGAGTGTAGGGGCAGCTGGTCGTGGCCTCGCCACAGTGAGCCGGTCGTCGACGAGACACTAGTATAAAGAAAAAGAGGAAAGAAACAAAACTTGAAAGGTGGAAAGAGACCTGCAGGCTCAGTGCGATGAAGATTTCGGGTTAACTCGTGAGCCGATGGCAATGGGTGCTTGAACACATCAAAGCTACGCTGTGATGATTATCACCGTTTAGTCAACAGAGGAACGTGATAATCATGATAGTGGAATCGTCACTAGTAGTTTAGCTTACAGCTCGCTCAAAGCCTAAACGTGCCCACCAATGAGTGCTATGCCCATCGATAAATTTATGTCAATCGTTTCTTTGTCTAATCGAACAAAGCTTGTGCGCTAAACACATAATTTCAACACGTGTCTGTTTGTACAAAAATAACTTTAAATCTACTTAGTTCAAACCTTACTTGTGCCGCCGAATTCTTCGCTTTTGCCCCGTTCAAATATTTTGTATTTTTTTTTTCTTATAGTTGTCGTGCGTCTCAAATCATTGAACACGTCAAGAATACTATTAAATGAGGATATCAATTCCTTGGCCAATACAGCCCGTCAACCCGTAACAGGAAAGATAATAGGGATGGCTTTTGGACGACAAGATAAAAGTGAAGAGTTTCCTGTCATAGGAACAACTGCTGTAGGCTATAATAAGCACACGCGACAAAAGGGCGCGGATTCTAGACGGGATTTCTGATATATTATACCGAACAAAAGTAAAAAAGGTTGACAAAAAAAATATAAATTTGTCACATGAACTACATGTTACAGTATTAGAATACAGAACGGACACAACTCAGTTAACATACAATAAGGAAAAATAAATCGTAAGCAATTGGGTTCGAATGCCCCCGCGCTAGTGTAGTAGCAACATGTTTGAATTCTGAACTTTAGAGCACATAATGTGGGTTCGACTGCAAACGTGGGCACAGTTCTTTTCCTGCTGGAAACGGGCAGCCGTCTAGGGAAACACACGACTAAGGTTGTATCAGACGTAAAACGTAAAGATGTTCCATCTTTATTAAGTTCTAACGCCGAACACCTAATCGCTTAACATCAACGTGAAGAGAGTTTATCTAGTTTACTTGTAGGTGTAATCTTGCAAATAATTTTATAGTAGATACCGATAGACAGACGCATGTAAATATCTTCAAATTTTTACCAGTGAAGGGCAGAGCTCGCATGACGAACTTTGATGTCGCAATAATCCAACGCAATAGTGGATCTGGTTATAATCGCATTTTGCGTCTTCAACAACGAAGTCCGAATGATAGAAAACTAGATTAGTACACGTAGAGACTATGAAAGCTTGCTCTGACGTCAAAACATTGTTTTCAAAGGTAGTATTACTGTCAATTGTCGTCTTTACGGCTTTTACGGGTGCAGCTTACGCCAAAAGCGTGAGTGAAGATATCGCGTCGAAGATTATCAATGGTTTTGGAAAACTTCAACAGCAGCAACAACAACAACATGGGACCCTGGATCAGATGAAAGATGTCGTTGCTGATAAGCCGCTTGCGCTACTTGCGTATTCTGAAGTTAACGCTGTAAGTTGTTCGTCGATAAAGTTCATATCGCAGTGTATAGTCCTTGCGCGTACAGCTGTAGTCGTTTTCAATGAATAAATTGCCACCAAAAAAATGCTAATACGGCTAAGCAAGGTTTACTTGCTCAAATGCCTTTAGTATAAGATTTTAGGTAATTCTACGGTATCTGCCTCGATGGGCGAAAGTGCTAAGGACGAACTAGGCACTGTTTGCTTTTTAAAACGGATTGCTGGGCTTCTTCAAGCATTTCGATAATCTGCGCATAAAATTACGTTAAAGTTCTTTGATTTCTTTCGTAGAGTTTTGCTGAAAGGGGTCGGGCCGAGCAAAGTCTACGAGAAGTACTTATCTATTATGATTTACTGTATGATGCTAACATGAGCGAGCGTCACTTTTAGTCACCTTTAGCTATCCTCAGAAGGAGAATAAAGAACTGAATTTTTAATGAGATGTAGAATTAGAACCGAATTTTGATGTAAAGAATCAGAAGATAATCTGGGATGATGGTAATCGTGAATCAAAGGTTGAACTCATCAACTTTTGGTATCAAAACGGTTTTCAGGATCCACTATTTTCGATAGCATCGTACACTGCGCTGTAGGAATAGTGCATCCATCCTTCAGGATTTATTGACTCGAACAATTAGTTGTTTGGCGGTCGCAATAGTGGTGTACCAGGCGTAAGCTGCGGTAAGACCGCGCTGTCTCATAAGTACTACTCATAAGAAGGCCAACTTAACAGACCATCTAAAACGTCGTATGTTCGCTGTTTGGGTCAAAGAGCAGCTAAAATATAACTTCAAAATTAAATTTATATTTGACTGGCTCAGAGAAAACAAAATTGTTCTATATGAAGGACGAGGTCACGCATGGCATTTATGAACGACATTTTGTGCAGCTGGGACAACTGTACATTGCAGGCCGTGACCTGGAGGTATCCGTTGCTTTACTTAACCGTTCAGGGTTTTTATTGTACATATTTGGCAAAAGATTTTCTGTGGCCAAAACTCGACGAATTTGGCTCCGACCATACGTGGTTTCGACGAGACGACGCTATTTGCGCACGTTGAAAAAGAAACAGGGTTAACGCACGATTTACCGCGAAGCACCCATACAATGGTCGCTCCATTGGTCATAATGGCCGTTATTTGATTTTTTTCTGTAGTGTCTCGAATGCAGAGATCAGTCTAGTAAATACATTTACAATTTATTCTAAATACAGTAATATTAGCGTAAACAAATGATAACACGTCAACATTTAGAGATTGCGCGCGATCATATAAACAAAAAATGATCAAAACCTACATACATATCAAGCTTCGATTATCACGGCTGCGTGGTATAAATCATACCGTTACCGTTCTGCGAGATAATTTCAGTTGTGCCGACTCAATAAATTGGTACCATTTATCAAAGTTGAAAATTGATGCATCGGAAACGGATAATTAATCGGACTAATCATGAGTTTACGTACGTGTCTCTGATGTATAGCTTGGATAAAATCTGCAATTCGGAATTATTCTTATAGTGTGAATAGGCGGTCCAATCTTGGGCTATAGGTTCTTGCAAGCCTCCTCGGTCTTTAATTCGAAATTGTGCTAGGACTATCTGCCTTCTAATCCTGCACGAATAGTATAGAAAGCGAATAAAAAATAGCCCGAGCGTGAATTATAAACTTCAATAGCACCATTTTCTTCTATAATTTGCTAGGTTCCACTTAATCTCTATCTTGCGAGCGAAGTAAAACTATATGTATGTATATATATATATATACCATAAAGCGATACAAATTCAATTGTATCGCTTTATGGTATATATATATATATCGTACGCTTATCATAAGACGAACGCATTTATAAGTCGACATACACATATACACGAGGTCTAATAGTTCCAAATATCTGTCCAATACGTATTTAGTGTATCATTACAATAGCATCTTCACAGGTTTGCGTGTTAGTTGGTTTTCTTAGAACTGTTTCGATATCTTTTTTAATTGGCCTCGTTACCATGTTCAGCTCATTTCACACCATGTCATTAAGGCAAGAGGGCAGCCGAGAAAACGCGTATGTAACTCATCACATGGTAGCACGACCGAAGGCTTATTTCGAGTAAATAATCTACACGCACGTTTCTTAACTTAAGCGCATCATTCATGCCGTTCATTTTTAGATGCATAGTCTTTGTTAGCTTAGCGTTTTGTGCACGTGCTGTTATTTTTTTCTGCTTTATTTCACGATCTTTAATAACGCTAGCGCGGAGCCTACATGCGAAACAGGACCAAGTATGAGAAATTCGATGACGACGACGACAATGACGACTTAGACGGGTCGACCACCGCCGGACCTCGCCTTCTAAACGCCGCCGTCCTCCTCAATGTTCTTCTAAAAAACAACGGCTCCGAAGAGCATCTGCGAAAAATCTACGCCAGCAATGCTGAGGTGAGTGTTTGAGTTTATCAGTCTTTCTGATCCGAACGATGGTACAGGGGTAGCGTGTTTGCTAGATCCGGCACCTACCATAACAATGAAATTCGGACTAAATTTGTCGAACGATCATCCAAGTGCTATTACACGCCTACGGTAATACGAATATACCTATATGCATACATACATATCTATAGGTACATCTACATCACGCATATGGAAAAGTGTGAGATTTAGCGAGGTTGTTAGGTTTAAAAGCAGAAGTTGACTATCTATTTCTTGTAGTATATTGTGAAGCGTGTCTTTCCATATGATGTCTTCAACTTATCATGGATAAGCTGGTTATAATAAATTCATAAATTAACGTAGCTACATTACAACAGTTAATAAATACAGTATCGAACTTGTAGCTAGTATTATTTGCAATTTTTACTCTGAGATGTCTTTATTAAAATACAAAATGCGAAATATTCATTACGTTGCTTATATCTTGTTGGGTTTCACTGAAAAATGTCTGCTTGGCGCACAAAAGCCGTATCGAGCTTTTTGAAGACGATAACAGGCGATTTTCTAGAGGTCCGGCTCACTCGGTCCTCCATAAAGTATATTTTGAAAAATATGTAATTGAAGAAGTGTTCGTACACACACTTAGAGGATATATATACTCAAGGATATATTTTTATGGGAATAAAATGTATGAGGTCACGTTGGGCACATTGGCATTAATCACGCTTCTTTTTATTGCTAATCTTCGGGTGTATGTCACACGTATAATATTAGGTTCGGGCAAGGTGTTTTCACATTGACTCAGCATGGCATACTTGCATGATGACGTGTAACCATCGATGCGAATCTTGATTCCGTTGACACACCTAGTGACGACACAATGACTTTATCCTAATGTTGAAAAGTAATGGAACTGCAGCAGGATGAGTAATGAGCTGCTAAACAGCCCTCCACGGGAAAGATGTTTCTTGGATCTGTGAAGTTGCTTTCACTTTTATGTTTAACTTACAAGATTTGCCCTCAGAAAGTGTTTACTCTTCTTAGATAAGTGGTTGGAGCACTTTTCTTCATTGGAACCACAGCACCTTTCATTGCGACAAGTTTTTAGTCGCTTATGAAACAAACGCGGAGGTAATTCCTTTCAATAACCACTGTATTTGTGGCGTATTTTCTTCGATAACTTCGGTAGGTAACGAAACATTCTTGCATCGTATAGTCCACCGCGAATCTGCCTGTGGCCTTCGGTACGTGTCCCGGTAGTAACGCGTGAAAATCTTTTCAACTACGAAATTTTTGTTTGAAACATTAATTCTCCAAACACGCAATAAAGAAAGTAATGAGAACGGGTGAGCAAACACGTATTAAATAAGTCCCGACGAAATTGGCGTCACACATCATTCCTACGCTTGTGGTGTACTACTTCCCGTTTTCGATTTTCGCAGATTGTGGCGCTGCAAACATATGACGGGGATCTGCTTTGGATCGAGGCGCGTTTTGCCAATGACACCAAGAAAAAGGGCTCGTTAACATCACGACAGGTATTACGGCGGTGGAGGCTGGATGAAAGGATTGAAGTGTTTGTCCCAACTGTGCTGGCTATGTTGCCCCTCGTCGGATTCTGGTTGGGGGTTCTAGCCCAGCGATAATGATGTGCACGAAGCAGGGACGCCTAAATCGACGTGATCGTGAAACAAATGAAGGGCAGTGCAAAGAACCGCTGTGTTTAGCTGATGTCAGGGAACAAGTTAAATAACAGGCTTAAACGACGGCTAGGGTAGCGAAGAGGACAAATTGTCACGCAGGTCTTTACAATATATAGAGATGTGCATCGAGATAAGGTTCACAATATATACGTTATGTTAATAAAGACGTGGACTATGCAATAGGTTTTGGTGTAGTGTTCTAGAAAACTTTTCCTTCGCTTACGTGGGTTTGCTGCGTAATAGATAGGATTTCGTCCACTAGAGTTGGTCAGTGTGCTAACATGGCGCAGACCTTAAATGTAATAAGCGCAGTGTATACTCTTTATCAGCAGGTGGTCCGTAAGTGAAGCTTCCACCTTCAATGCATCAACTATTGTACCGTAGCAGTAAATAATTACCTGGCTGTTTTGCGTTGCCTCTGCAGACAGCTTGAATCGGGTTAATATGGTCGGATCGAGTGCGTACCGCTATATCATAAAAAAAATAGCTATTTTTTCGGAAACAGTAAGGTGTTGTTTTTTTCCGTGAACCGGTACCACAATGACGATACAACCGATCTCAAAGCCAAAAGTGTGCGCTTGTTTCTGCTGTTAGATCCCTTATCTTCCTAATGATTTTTCAGACAAACTCGATTCAGTAGATTTTCAAACTATCCTCGTGCTGCCATAACCTCCAAGAGCCCAAGTGATCTTAAAACGCTCAGTCGTTTACTTTCGTTATTTTTTTTTAATTTGTCCACAACCTTTTGCTATTGAAATGGATAGGTCTTGTCCGTCGGCCGCCACTTAGTAACTTTAAACATTTATTTCACATTTAATGTTCGCACATATAAACATAAAATTTTTAATATTAGGCGGCACTTATATCGTTGTTGCGCACCTGAATATTGCCAGAATAAAAACTACTGTTAAGGTCAAAAATCTTATATTTGCAGGACTTTTAGGCCTGCTTTTTAGTTAAACTTCTTAGCTAGTAGATTGTCTAAACGGAAGGCAACATAACCGAAAAAATTTCAAGATCTTATTGTTTCGGCTAACAGATGCTATATGATAAGTTTCATTGCCATAATAAAAATATGGTGTGTAGGCACCGCGATGGTGATAACCGTATTGACCTCACGCTGTAGCTAAAGTTATTATTGTCACCAAATTTGTTGTATTTTAGCTAATGTTAGGCTGTTGCTTATTATTTCGCTTTAGGTTGCGGTCTCATACCACCTTATAATGGAAGGTTATCGTAGAACTAGCATGTTGGAAACGAGGCTGTCATCTATCGAAGGTCTACAGTGCTGAGGTTCTCGAAACCCCATTCGCAAAGGTCGTTTTCATTCACTGGAACAAAGCACGGTTTCGCGTTGAAGCTGTCCTTAGAGTTTAGACGAACGGGGAGCTGAGTGGTTAATGTGCATGTCTTCCATGCTAATTACGAGCCTGTGGCCGTGAACAATTTAACTGTCAGGGATAGCAAGTTATTACTATAGCATATGGTTCCCATATGGTTTCATAAATCTATTGAAGAAACCCAGAGTAGACCGGTAAGGCTTACCTCGGCAAACCTTCTCGTGGGAAGAAGTCTTTAATGCGGCCATATTGAAGACATGATTTTGAATACTTGTCCATAAAGTAAAGATAACCGAAGGAAATTAAAGGCAGAAAAATGTTTAACGTTGGTTCGCAACCATAATCTTTTTGTTAGCTTAAACTAGGGTGTATTTCAGGAGCTGAAATCCGTGGTTGCTGACTTTCCAGCTGTAACAGCCCAAGCGATCGTACCGCCTATACCTCTAATTAGGTAATATTCGCCACATCTCAATATATATGCCATTTCAGATCAACAGTATCTGTTCCCGGTATTAACATATGGATACTAACATCGAACTAAACAGCTGTTATTTTTGGGATGTTCGAGAACCTTAGTATAGCTAGCAAGACCCAAGTTTCGAAAAGCCAATATTTTATCTAAAAGAAATGCGGCTTTCGATGCATAGAACTGTCCGCTTCCGGTCTAGCGTGGCTGAGGATGCACCTCCAAGAAAGTCATACAAGCTCACGTTAAATTTAATCCAGCATATAACAGACCGCCGTCGGTTCCTTGAAAAAGATCGAACTTTGATGGGAAATTTTGTCGGGCTATCCAAACTAGGCGAAACGGGTTAATGAGAAACTTTTGTTAGATGAGTCGCATAATCCTCTCTTTAGGCAGTGCTTCCAGCAAAGTTTTCTGTATTCAGATAGTACTAATAAAGATTGCAACAATATGACTATATCGTACAGAGCCTAGAACTCCCTGTATGAAAAAAACCACCAAAGTGTTTATATCACATGAAGTGATGCCAAGGAGGACGGTGGAACTGCTTCCATATTTAGGAAATTGACACAGAATAACTTCCGCACTTTTCTTGATCCAGAAACGCTCATCATAGCTTTCTGGAAACAATTATGGACTAATACGAATATTTTTTAATTGCAGTCACCGGCTATTTTTTCCGCGGCCGGGCAGGGAAAAGATTTTTTTGATATGCCAGAAGTCTCCGCTTGACTGCTTTCCGCGTCGTTACCACTATCTCGCGTGAGGCGTGCACTATACTTCAATATATATATATATACGTTACGTATCTAAAACAAATATAACGCCGCTAAGAAACGCAACAGCCAATTTGTTGCTACATAGTGTGACTGATACAGCAGTTGTTCTGGAAAGGGGACCATACAGGCAAGCTATAGCCAGGCAATTGATTTGAAAGCATTGTCTCGAAAAAACTGTGCGCAACTTAAATCTCCTGAGTCTCTCACTGTCGCTGGGCTTTAAACTTATGAACTTGTTACCGTACAAAAAAGAAGCTGAGCGTTAAACTTTTACCCCTTAACACAACTTCACACAACATTTGAGCTGTAGTTCTTAAAGTCTAAAGTTTCTAAAGAGCTAAAGTTTCGAATCAGATACAGTCAAAACGCCGTGAATTTTCGTATGTCCATGTACTTTTAGCTTAATTTATTAAGTGCAATGTTGCAGAGGTAACGTATTTCTAGAATAGTCTTATTTTAGGGTATAAGAAATACTTAAACTTGCAGCTTCTGAGTTGGATGAGAGCAAGACTACGGAAATAGCGTGATTTTCTATTGTTCACATCAGCGCCGACTCCAGCTTTGTCAACGCCTACTTTTAAGACCGTAGTAGTGGTAGTATTTTGTTTATCATTTCTGAACCATATCAGAGAGTAAAGTGACTGGGTTCAAAGACAAATTTTCTTTAACATATTTAACGCCTGCGGGTAAACTACTTCTTGGATTCTTGATAATTTTTACGGCCTCATGATTAACTAATTAGGCCTTTGACCTTTCAAAGGACATTTGTCCTTTGTCCTGAAGTGAGCAACTAAAATTATAAACACGACGAAAATTTCTTTTTGCATGGAGTCACATTGGATAGCATGTACAGAAGACCATCTTTCTGTGACCGTTCGACTTCGATTCGAATTTGTGGCACTCCTTTGCTGTTATAAATTATATCGAAATGTGGGCTCTTTTCATTTATAGATGCACATTTTTGCAACATAACAAAAAAAAAACCGAGAATAGAACGTGTCAGTGAGTTGCGAGAATAGTCACATTGCTACAATAGCCTTTTCTATTAGATCCGTATTATAAACATTAGATATCATCGTTTACAAAATCGTTCATCGATATCAGAAATATAAAAATGACCTCATGTATACAAAGCATTACACTGGCAAATAGAGTATGCAATCCTCCTATGTTAATTTTAACCTTTTATCTATTGCATACCTAAAACGACGAGTAATGTGTTCATCATGAATGCACTTTTAAAAAATGTCCTGTTTCCTTTAACACAAATACTTCGAATAGATGCTACCGTAATATATACACCCGAACACCTTAAGGAAAAAACATTCTGTATTTACGCAAGAGATAGCTTTTTCACTTCGCAAATTCGTTTTTTTTTAAAAAACATGTGATGTTGGCGGGACTTTTACATATATATATATATAATATGGAGATACATGTGCAATGTTTATACCCTTCACACACCAAAATCGAACGAAAGGTCGGACAAAAAAGCAAACGTCCGCTCAGTATTCCAATCAATAAAGTAATACACATTATGACAATTGTCTTTTTTGTGTGACTCTGACTGTGGGATTAGGCTACACATAAACTTAATCAAAAGTGGTTCGTAGAAAATTCTACCACTCTTTGTATATACTTGTAGGTACCATTCCCTAGCATCTAGGAAAGTCGGCGTGCCACCGTGAGACAATTTGCTTACTGCGGCCAGCATGCACACTGTATATGTGTGGCGGCAGATTGCACGATGCTGTTTGATGGTACGAAAAGATATATATTACATGCCTATACAAATAGCGTTCAAGAGAGCCTTAGGGGCCTGCAAAGGACCCTCATAACAGAACGTTTGTCTCGATCCTACTGCCTTTTTTTTCGAGTTGTCGTTTCATCGTCTTGTCTGCGCCGTATAGTCGAGCTCGTTTAACATAGATCGTTCGTTTTCCGAGATATAATCTTATCTTGAGATTTAGCCTGTTCCTTCCCAGGACAGTTTACCATGAGGGCTATAAACCTGTTTCACCTGACGGAAAACTGCCCTACAGGATGTGTTTCACGCACACCTAGCGCTGTGAACGGACGAACGGACTAACACGATAGACTTGGCTCCATTGCTTAGATTGTATCAGCCAGCCACTTTCAATGCAAACAACGGCGAAATCTATACGGCTGGTTCACCTCGACGAACAAACACGAATCATTTTCAACGGTTCTTGGCTTAAGTTTGTCATCTTGCTTCGAGCGTCACGTCACTTACGTTACATGATATCGTTGCAGCTGCCCGAGCAGAGTTTCATGTAAGTTAGGTAGCTCGTAGATGTACGCAATTCTAAATGTTTTTTTGCAGTGTACCAATTCATTTTGTTTGCCTTGACCTGCGTGCAAGCAGTTTTTCTTCTAATCGACAAAAGAATGTAATTAACGCTCAGTATTGAAAAAAACGTACTGCTCTTTTACGTCTTTACGTTTTTCGCTCAGTGCACTTTAATACTAAGTCTGATGGCTATAATCAGTTGGAGTAATTACTGAAACACGTGTTATCATATTTTACCCGTATATAGGGTGCGCACCGAAGGTCAAAGCAAAACGGATAACCCATAGGAATACCGCGCTCTGAGTCGCAGCGGAAACG